AAAAAAAAAAAAAAGAAAAGAATAGCATTTCCCAATTGTATATTTATTTACTCAGTGACCATGACTATAAGAGATTGCTGAACTACACAACTTTCTAAACTCAGTCATTTTAAATAAGCAACTTTCTATTATTGTAAACTATATAGAGAGATCTATTTTCAATAGCTATTTAATATACTCTGGAATTGAATAAGATTTATCTTTTAAAAAAGTGGCAGCCGGGAGTGGTGGTTCATGCCTGTAATCCCAGCACTTTGGGAGGCCAAAGCGAGAGGACTGTCTGAGCTCAGGGGTTCAAGACCAGCCTGGGCAACATAATGAGACCTGTCTCTATAATAAATCAAAAAAATAAGCTGGATATGGTAGCACACACCTGTAGTTCCAGCTACTTGGAAGGCTGAGGCAGAAGGAATACCTGAGTCTAGCAGGTCGAGGCTGCAGTGGCCGTGAACATGCCTCTGCACTCCAGCCTAGGCAACAAAGTGAGACTCTGACTCAAAATAAAATAAAATAAAGAAGTGGTAATTGGCTGGGTACAGCAGTTCACGCCTAAAATCCCAGCACTTTGGGAGGCCAAGGTGAGAGAATTGCCTGAGCCCATGGGTTTGAGACCAGCCCAAGCAACTTGGCGAGACCTCATCTCTACAATAAATCAAAAAATTAGCCGGGTGTGGTGGTATGTGCCTGTAATTCCAGCTACTTGGAAGGCTGAGATGGAAAGATCACCTGAGCCCAGCAGACCAAGGCTGGTGTGGCTGTGAGTGTACCACTGCACTCCAGCCTGGGCAATAGAGTGAGATTCTGACTCAAAAAAAAAAATGGTGACAATGGTAATGAAAGTCTTTCTTACCTTTCTTGCTGGACCCAATGTATATAATGTTATGATACTTGATGGAAATAGACGATGTTAACAAACTTAGGAAAAATTAAAGGTGGAAGAAACAAAACCAAGGTCAGTGATAAATGGAAAGACCACAGTCTACAAGTTCTGATCCTGGTTCAAAAGTTGATCTGGGGAAAGTTACTCAGCCCTTCTTAACTTCTTAACCACAATTTCTTCTTTCTGACTGACCAAACAGCAGTCAACCATTTAATTCTTGGACTCCCTGCCCCTCTCTATCTGTACCATTGATCACATTCTAACTGTATTAGAATCAGTGACTCATTCCTTCATTCAACAATTTTTTTTTTTTTTTTTAAGAAACAAGGTTTCACTATATTTCCCAGGCTGGTCTCCAACTCCTGGGTTCAAGCAATCCTCCCACCTCAGCTTCCCAAAGTGCTGGAATTATAGGCATAAGTGATCATGTCCCTCTATCAACAAATATTTTGGCTGTTGCCTAATTTAGGTTGTGAACTCCTCTAAATGCTGAGTTTACAAAGGTGATTAATACACAGTTTCCTCCATCCATAAGCTTATTCTAGGTGAGAGAAAGAAAATCAACAAAATGTAGCACAAGTCATGCATAGTGGCTCACATCTGTAATCCCAGCACTTTGGGAGGCAGAGGTGAGAGGATTGCCTGAGTCCAGGGGTTCAAGACCAACCTGGGCAACTTGGTGAGACCTGATCTCTATAACAAATCAAAAAATTAGCTGGGCATGGTGGTGCATGCCTATAGTTCTAGCTACTTGGAAGACTGATGGGGAAGGATCTCCTGAGGTCAGGAGGTTGGGGCTGAGGTGAGCTGTGATTGTTCCATTGCACTTCAGCCTGGGTAACAGAGACTCCAATTCAAATAATAAAATTTTAAAAAAATTTTTTTAGAAAAAGAATACAACATGATTAGATGATGGAATCTAAGTATGAAAGCTGCTATGACCTGCTCAGAAAGTACAACATTTGAGCTGGACCTCAAAGAAACTATCTTCGTATATGAATGCTTTATCTTTTACTGTACTGAAAACAAGGTTAAGTTGCATCATTTGCATCCTTCATGATACCTTTACCATGGTAAATGACAAATAAACATAGATGAGATAAATAATTGAAAGAAATACAAATTTGAAGCTTTCAATGAATGAAAAATACCAGTTTCAGTAGTATAATAAAAAGTATTCTCTAACAATAGAAAATGTGAACATCAGATACTCAAATATTTGTTGATTAAAAAGTCAAAATTATGTTAAATGCTAATTTTAAGTTATCTGAAATCATTTTAAAATAAGAACCTTTGAGATTCTTCTTTGGGACACCCTAAACCAGAATACTCTAATGCTAAGAGCTGCTATTGAACCAGTAAGAGGCTCTATCATTTTCTTTCTCAATACTTTATGATGCAAATATTGTTATCCTTTAACAAATGAGGAAACTGAAACAGAGAGAGATTTGTCCTTAGCCTCAAATCAATTAGCATATGGGGAAGGCTGGATCCCAACCAGTTCTGCCTGACCCCCAGAGCCACACCTTTAGCCACCAGGCAATGGGGACTCAGCCTGATGGCCTCCACAACTAAAAAAGCTCTGGGTATGTGAGGGAGTCAGTAAAGAGCACCATACTATTATGTGTTATAAAAATCACAGATATATCACAGATACATTATGCAGATAAGCATTATGTTTCAAGAGTCGCCACTTGCATTCTTTGAAGACTGTAAAAGGGAGTTATTGTAATCTCTTGGCTTTTCAATAATTTAGACTAAAGAAAACTCGACCAAGTCAGGTGTGGTGGCTCATGTTTGTAAGTCCAGCACTTTAGGAGGCCAAAGTGGGAGGATTGCTTGAGGTCAAGAGTTCAAAACCAGCATGAGCAACATAGTGAGATCTCATCTCTTTATTTATTTCTTTTTTTAAATTATGTTTTTATTTTTTTTTTGAGTTGGAGTCTCACTCTGTCACCCAGACTGGAGTGCAGTGGCTGCTCCCGGCCACCGCAGCCTCGACCTGCTGGGCTCCGGCGATCCTTCCGCCTCAGCCTTCCAAGTAACTGGAACTACAGGCGTGCGATACTACGCCTGGCTAATTTTTTATTTATTGTAGAGATGAGGTCTCGCCAAGATTCCCAGGCGGGTCTCGAACCCGTGGGCTCAGGCAATCCGTTCACCTCAGCCTCCCAAAGCGCGGGATTATAGGCTGAGCCACCGAGCCCGGCTTCATCTCTTTATAAAACAAAAAAGAAGAAGAAGAAAACTCTTCATTAACATATTTTTTGAAGGCTCAAATATAAATTTCTCAACCGTGAATCTTCCAGTGTTTGAATTCAGATTTTAAAAAAAGGCATGTACTAATTCTCATTATGTTTGATTCCAGGCAATTAGAAGCTGGATTTTTCTATTATCATGAAATTTCAAGTTAGGTGCCAGACACATCATTTTGAACACCTTATTCTCTGTCTTGCTCATTGGCTCTTTTTTTATTAAGGCCACTTCAGAAGGCAGCCAGGAAAACAGCCACCAGAAAAGGTAGCTGTATTTCTGATACTTAGAGCCTCTATGTCCAGAGAAGTACATGGGGCTTGTGTGATTAGACTTCCTCCTTAAAGCTGGTTGTGTCGTCTTCCTTCAAAGGAAACCTGGAATAACCCACAGTCAGAAGATCAGGGAGGAGCAAAAGGTTATCACAGAGAGAAGGACAGGAAAGAGGAAATGAACAGTAGGAGAACAAGAATGGAAGACAGAAGATGAGGTGATGTCTGTAGCAATTTCACAAGCCATGCCTACGCTGATCTCTGGCATCTTCTGTGTTGGTTGGGGTTTCCTTGCAGGTGCACGGTGGTAGAATAAAAATGTGGACACAAATTCATGTGTCAAAAGCTCTCCCCTTTTGGATGGTCAGCTTGGAACATGAAAGAGGCATTGAGACAGAATGTGGTGCTCATTCTTCCCCTGTTACCCAGAGAAGGGACAGCTAACCAGTCATGACAGGGCTGTGCCTTTTCGGGAGATGTATGTCATGGCAGATCAGAGCTTGAGGCCACCAAACCACACTCACTAGTCCCTTTCCTCAGCTACCATGCATCTGGGTAGTCTTATTATAACCAGGGTCCCCTTGTGATAGTTTTAACCCAAACCACCATCATCATAGTAGTAAGAATAATTATGACATTACAAATAATAATAGTAACAATAATAATTGAAATATTTTCGACATAGAAAAATATATCATTTTTAACAGGTTAATTTCTATATTTCTCAGAAAAATTAATACTTTTTTTTTAAAGACAGGGTCTCACTCTGTTGCCCACGCTACAGTGCAGTAGCCTCAAACTCCTGGGCTCAAGTGATCCTCCCATCTCAGCCTCTTGAGTAGCTAAGCTTACAGGCACATGCCACCAAGTCCAGTTAAGTTTTTAGATTTTTTTTGTAGAGACAGGGTCTTGCTGTGTTGCCAGGTTGGTCTCCAACTCCTGGCCTCAAGTGATCCTCCTGCCTTAGCCTCCCAAAGCATTGGGATTTCAGGCATGAGTCATTGTACCTGGTCAATACATTTTAACTTCTAAAGAATAAATATTCTCCCTCCTCTCTCAACCCATAATCCATTTTTTTAGCCTTGATCGCCCTTGCCCTTGTGCCCCTGGACACACACACACACACACACACACACTCTCTCTCTCTCTCTCTCTCTCTTTCTCTCTCTCTCTCTTTCTCCTTCAGTATATCCTTTGCCCATTTACTCAGACCACATTGTCTAATCTCATAAGCAGTCACCTTTAACTTGTAGGATTAGTGGAATAAATAAGGATTTTGAATTCACAGTTATCTGGGTTCAAATCTCAACTTTTCCTTAGCAAACTATGTAACTGCAACCTCTCTGAGTCTGAGTGTCCTCAGTTTGAACAGCTTTGGATAAAATATGGCGCCTTCCAAAATCTGACCTAGGGAGAGGCATAGATCTCATTAATTAACTGCACAGTGATGCTACAATCAATAGAAAAGAGGGGTATTTTCTATATATGCCTCCAATGAAAAGATAGCCTCTTTTCCTTAATCACTAAAGAATTAATCATCAGCCCATCTTGACAGGACGGCTGTTTCTTTTCTCTCCTTCTGGGCTTACTGTCTTTAGGCTGCATGAACAAAAAGCAAACAAAGTCCATACAGCCCATTTCACGGTTTTTAGGCACTTTGATAAAGATTCTCCAGAGGAGGCTGGGCTCAGTGACTCAGCCTGTAATCCCAGCACTTTGGAAGGCTGAGATGAGTGGATTCGAGACCCACCCGGCCAACTTGGCAGGACCTCATCTCTACAATTAAAAAAATTAGCCGGGCGTGGTAGCGCATGCCTGTAGTTCCGGCTACTTGGAAGGCTGAGGCAGAAGGATCGCTGGAGCCCACCAGGCCGAGGCTGCAGTGGCCAGGAGCATTCCACTGCACTCCAGTGTGGGCAACAGAGTAAGAATACAACTCAAAAAAAAAAAAAAAGATTCTCTAGAGAAGGTTGAGTTGAAGGAAGACTATGACATTGTGGATAAAGTATAGATTTACATTTATTCAGGCTGCTCCCAATCTCCATTTCCCTGGATAATCAAAAGCCAAGTTTCATTAGACAAATATGTGCAACTAACTGGCAAGATGGCAGACTTAAAACACTGAGCGCGCCTCCCTGCCTGGAGTGTGGAAATCAGTATCAGCCTGCCCTTCTTCCCGTCCCCACCCGCCATACATACGGCTAAGAACGTTCCTTTCCTATGCTCTCCAGACTTTAAAGGTCAATCTGATAACATGCCAGGGAAGTCCAAAAGGAGGCCTCACATCTCCTGTGACCCCAAACCTGCTCTGTCTGCTCAAAAGTAATTGCACACAGCCAAGAAACAAAAACATCCCTAGCCACAGTTGGGCGATGTCTGGCTGTCAAAATAACCAGAGAAAACAGGTAGCTGAAGACTGGAAAGGTAGCAGAAAACAAAGCGCGCAAAGGGAGCACATCTGTGATTAGAAAGCAAACGAAAAGCAGACACAAAACATTCATGTCAACTTCTTAAGGAAAAGAGGTTCATCACAAGCCTAAGCCTCTGTGCTCTATTTTACCATAAAAATGTATTTATGTATTTGTGTATTCATTCATTCATTCACAGAGCCAAGCCCTCAGGGCTTTCAGGGTGCACAGTGGTTGGCGTCACACCCTACTCAGTCAAGGAATACCCTTTCCATTTGTTTGCACTTTGGATGTATTTGTGGCTGAACATGAGAACACTCTTTTGGGGAAGTGCATACTCTCAAAGCCCTTCCTCTTTGGCCTGTCCTCTTGCTGCATTGGTAAAGAGGACTGAGCTTTCAGGCTGAGCCTTTCTACAGCCAGCTTCCTCCTCCCAAGCTGCAAAAGATATCTGGAACAACCAAATAGTAGGCACAGTCCACTAAACTATGTTTCCCGTTTATATTGAGGGTCACTTTGTTTCCCTCACGTTCATTTAAGAATTGAGCTATGCGAGTGAAAATGGCGGCATATCCGTACCTGGTCTCTCAGCCTCTCTTGGTGGCCCATGATTGCTGAGGCATGGTGGGGGTATTTCTGCTTCAGATGTTCTAGGAACGCTTCTCTCTTCCTATCCATCTCAGATGTTTGCATTCCCAGTATTTCTTTGGAACTTCGGGCCCCTCCTAAAGTGTGTCTCCTTGGGATGTTTCGAGAAGACTTGGAAACTGAAACACGACTGTTTCCATTAGAAAGGCGTTCCTTGGTCCTGCGGCATTCTGCATCTTCCGATGATGTTACATGCAGATTGCTTTTTCCTTGTTCTGAAAGGCAAACAGGCAAAAGACAAACAAAAAAAACCGGTTCACAATAATTTCACACTAGAAATCTTGTTTACAGAACATCAAGAGGATTTGCGGTAATTGTTAATGGAATGTAACTTAGCAAATCTTTTTCCCTCTCTCTTTTTTTAAAATTTTTTGCAGTAAGAATAAGGGTTGGGGGAATCCACAATCGAAGAAATACAAAAATTCGTACTTTAGAAATAAAGATGTTCTAGCAAAAACTGTTATTTCTGACTTTCTCGGAGGTTATTCTAAATGAGAACATTTGGTTAGGTCAGTTGTTTGCAGGTGACTGGGTTATCGCTGACCCTCATTCATAATTATATAGGAGTTAACTCCAGTGATTCTGATTATTTCTGTATTTTAAACAACAGTTTCATCCTGGTAACAGGATTTTTATATTTTTATAAGCTGAAAATTGTTTCTGAAACATCTGTTTCACCACCAAGAACAAAAATAGCTATCACCCTATACATAAGTCGGGTAATCACTGACACATGTGAACCACTTGAAAATTCTTTTTTTTCTTTTTTTTTGAGTTGGAGTCTCACTCTGTCGCCCAGACTGGAGTGCAGTGGCCGCTCCGCTCCTGGCCACCGCAGCCTCGACCCGCTGGGCTCCGGTGATCCTTCCACCTCAGCCTTCCAGGTAGCTGGAACTACAGGTGCGCGCTACCACGCCCGGCTGATTTTTGATTTATTGTAGAGATGAGGTCTCGCCAAGTTGCCCAGACGGGTCTCTAACCCGCGGGCTCAGGCAATCCACTCACTTCAGCCTCCCAAGCACGGGATTACAGGCTGAGCCACCGAGCCCGGCTCCACTTGAAAATTCTATTTCTCTTATTGGCATAAACCAAGGAAGCATAAGAATATCATAAGATGTATCCATCGAGGGGACATAAAGTCAAGGCTGAGACACATTTTACTTGAAGTGGACTTTACTTAACACACAATGAAAGGGAAGAGCTATGGTATGTCTTATTAGCCTGAGCTGGCTTGTAAAGAACAAGTTGGTGTCTGTGAAGAACAGATCACACTAAGGCATGCAACGTGTAGGAAATCTCAATTCATTCTCAAGGGTTGAGAAATGGGGTATCAGGTTTGAATATTCCAGTTAACTGAGAAAAGGCAGTTACTTCTTTCAAAAAAACAGATTAAGGAGCAGACTGCGGTGGCTCATGCCTGTAATCCTAGCACTTTGGGAGGCCAAGGTGGGAGGATTGCTTGAAATTTGGAGTTCGAGACCAGCCTGGCCAATATAGTGAGACCTCGTCTTTTTATTTTTAAAAGAAAAATGAAAGATAAACAAAAATAAAAAACCAGATTAGAGGAAGAAACTAAAGAACGTTCAGAAGTACTTTAGGAACTAGACAAGTTCTCTTCATGAAGCCTGGTTCTCTTCACAGAGAACAGTTCTTATACAGTATTGCAGATGCAGGCAGAATAATGTGTCCTTGTCCACTGAATTCCCTGGGAAAAGCACTAGGCTGGGTCTCAGGAGTCCTGGCTTTCAGCCTACACCTAGAACAAACAATTTCACCTCTCCTGGTCTTTTTCTTCCTTCCTTCCTTCCTTCCTTCCTTCCTTCCTTCTTTCCTTCCTTCCTTCCTTCCTTTTGAATCAGATGGAGTCTCTGTCACCTAGGCTGGAGGGCAATGTTACGATCACGGCTACTTCAGGCTCGGCCTGCTGGGCTCAGACAATCCTTTGGCCTCAGTCTTCAAGAAATTGGAACTACAGGCACTCACCGCACACCTGGCTAATGTTTTGATTTACTGTATAGAAACAAGGCCTTGCCAAATTGCCCAGGCTAGTCTTCAGTCCCTGGGCTCAGACAATCCTCTTACCTCAGCCTCCCAAAGTGCTGAGATTGAGCCACCATGACCTACCATGCCCAGCCTTATTTTTTTCATTAGTAAAATGAGGATGCTGGACTAGCATTAGATATGCGAAGAAGACCTCATCTCTACAATAAATCAAAAAATTAGCCAGCTATGGTGGCACGGATCTGTAGTCCCAGCTACTCAGAAGGCTGAGGTGGAAGGTTCACCAGAGTCCAGCAGGTTGAGGCTGTAGGGGCTGTAAGCATGCCACTCCACTCCAGCCTGGACAACAGAGTGAGACTCCAACTCAAAAAAATAAAAAATTTAAAAAACAAAAATAAAATAATAAATAATTTAAAAATAAATTTTCAACAGCAATATATTTGTTAAATATATATCTTTAAAAGTTAAGTGCACCGGGCTCGGTGGCTCAGCTTGTAATCCCACGCTTTGGGAGGCTGAGGTGAGTGGATTGCCTGAGCCCGTGGGTTC